AAGTGGGCGTGCAATGGATTATGGTCATTGTGTATTGGCCTGTTGGAAACTGCAACTCCCTACTGCATTGCACAATTCAGGCTTGATCTGATTTATCTCTACAGAATATAATTTAGTAGCCTAAACCTATTGATGAATAATGAGGAGTGATGAGAGAACCCTCAACATTGGCTAGCAGTGTGTCAAACGGCATCATAAAAATAAGCTTTTTATGATGGTTATTAGGCTATGCATAATTGGTTTTGGTAACACAATACAATTATGAGCCACACCATTTCATTTAACAGCAACCCATTGCATGGGCACCTTTAATAATATTTTTGACAAACTTTCAAGAAAGACACCAACTCTGTTTTTGGAGGACTCCTTAATTTTAAACCCAGAGAACATATTGATGTTTTAACTTGTCGCGGGCATCCGGTATCGACACAGGGGTCCAGGAGCACTAAATTTGGCTGCCGGGTATCATTATCGCCACAGTCTACGGACTTGTAATCATTCTTGGAATTATCGGTAAGGTTACGCTCATGAGAACGTTTATCGCCGTTAAATCCATGCGGACGGTGCCCAACCTATTCATGTCCAGCCTCACGCTCGGTGACCTTCTGCTGCTTGTCACGTGCGCTCCGGTGCACGCAAGCCGGTAATGTTACCTCGCTGACTAGTGGTTCTTCGGCCGGGTGGGATGCAAACTCATCTCTTTCATCCAACTCACCTCCGTCGGGGTCTCTGTTTTCACACACACTGCTCTCTCTGCAGATAGGTAAGGGTTGTATTATTGAATGTGTTGTTTTCTTGATCACTCTGATGGGAAGTGAAATGACCCATACATTCAAGGTTTCACACTATGGCGTGGTAGCATGAGCAGGCAGGTGTGTAACTGTCTTACAGTACAAGATCAATCAATCAATCAATGTGCATGCGCAAACATAGATGATAAAAGCATTTCTCTACACCCGCAATAATAACACAGAATGAATTTGTCATGCATAAAATGGAACCCTCTTTATAATATGTGGGATTATTTTCTGCAGTGAAAATAATCCTCAACCAGGTTGAATGCCAAGAGTGTGCAAAGCTGTCATCAAGGCAAAGGGTGGCTACTTTGAAGAATCTCAAATATAAAATATATTCTGATTTGTTTAACACTTTTTTGGTTAATGCATGATTCCATATGTGTTATTTCATAGTTTTGATGTCTTCATTATTATTCTAAAATGTAGAAAATAGTAAAAATTAAGAAAAACCCTGGAATGAGTAAGTGTGTCCAAACTTTTGACTGGTACTGTATGTCAAGCAACTTGGATGCAATGAGCAGTGTTGCAGTAAAATCATCTCAAGCTAATTGGGTGAAACACAAAGCAACTCAAACAACATTGAAATTGCATCAATGATATGTATATTTTTATATATACAACTCCATTTGGCATTTCTCAGGTAATGCAGTTCACAGCAGCACTGACGGATGTGTTGACTTGACAACTGCATCAGAGTTTTGAACGACCCTCCCCCCTTTTGTTCCATGCTGGCTGAAGACCTAGCTAGCCAGTAACTAGCTAATAATAATAATATGCCATTTAGCAGACACTTTTATCCAAAGCGACTTACAGTCATGCGTGCATACATTTATACATATGGGTGGTCCCGGGGATCAAACCCACTGCCCTGGCGTTACAAGCACCATGCTCTACCAATTGAGCTACAAAGGTACACAGCTAACACCAGACACAGATGAAAGGGGAAACATATAAGTATCTTTGCCATAGATGAATAGGGTAAACTTTTAATTATATTTGCTGACACCCTTCAATCAAATTTTGGCACCAGTAGACTAGCTATCTAGCTATATAAACCATGCCCCTCTGCAAACACGCCTTCTCCGATGTTGGTTACAAGGCGGTACTTATTTAAATTAGGTAAGTGAATATCATGTTACCATTGGTGTATTAAAATGAGAGTTAAGGTGATGTCACCTTGTCCCCTTAATAATGTATCCAAGTGTTTGACATGGAGGAAGGGAACAGTAACTTTATGTTAAAACTTTATCAATGTAGAAGTAACATTCATTTTTCATACTTTGGTCATCATACTTTGATCTTCAAATATCATCCAATTTCATGAAAAACCAGATTTTGACTGTTCATGACCTTTAACATTTTTCCGGCCCTTCCTTTCACACCGCCTGATATAGAGGTCCTGGATGCGAGGGAGCTCGGACCCAGTGATGTAGTGTGCTGTCCACACCACCATCTGTAGCGCCACGTGATCGAGGACAGTGCTGTTGTCATACATTTACATTTACATTTACATCATTTAGCAGACGCTCTTTTCCAGAGCGACTTACAAATTGGTGCATTCAACTTATGATAGCCAGTGGGACAACCACTTCTTTCTTTTTTTTTATGGGGGGGGTGGGGGAGGGAGGGGTAGAAGGATTACTTTTATACTATTCCAGGTATTCCTTACAGAGGTAGGGTTTCAAGTGTCTCCGGAAGGTGGTCAGTGACTCTGCTGTCCTGGCGTCGTGGGGGAGCTTGTTCCACCATTGGGGTGCCAGAGCAGCGAATAGCTTTGACTGGGCTGAGCGGCAACTGTGCATCCGTAGAGGTAGGGGGGCTAGCAGGCCAGAGGTGGATGAACATAGTGCCCTCGTTTGGGTGTAGGGTCCACAATCAGTTCCTTGGTCTTACTGACGTTGAGGGAGAGGTTGTTGTCCCGGCACCACATTGCCAGGTCACTGTCCTCCTCTCTGTAGACGTTCTCATCATCGCCGGTGATCAGGTCCACCACCGTTGTGTCATCAGCAAACTTGATGATGTTGGAGTCATGCGTGGCCACGCAGTCGTGGTTGAAAAGGGAGCAGAGGAGGGGATTAAGCACACACCCATGTGGGGCACCTGTGTTGAGGGTCAGCGTGGTAGAGGTGATGTTGCCTACCCTCACCACCTGGGGTTGGCCCATCAGGAAGGCCAGGATCCAGTTGCAGAGGGAGGTGTTCAGTCCCAGGGTCCTAATTTTGGTGACGAGCTTGGAGGGGACAATGGTGTTGAACGCTGAGCTGCAGTCAATGAACAGCATTTTCACATAGGTATTCCTCTTATCTAGGTGGGTGAGGGCAGTGTGGAGTGCAATTGAGGTTGAGAAGTGTATTGATCTGTTGGAGCGGTATGCAAATTAGAGTGGATCTAGGGTGTCTGTGATGATGGAATTGATGTGTGCCATAACCAGCCTTTCAAATGACTTCATGATTACAGATGTGAGTGTTACAGGGTGGTAGTCATTGTGGCATGAAGCTTTAGAGTACCACTAACTTTTTAAAAAACATGTCTATCTTTATTTCACAATTCAACGCAATCACAATCACTTATTTTGTCTTTTAATCATTTTAAACATATTTTAACATAGGCATCTTTTAACACAGGCTTAACACCTAACAAACACTTTGTACTTAAAAAAAAAAAACGTTTAACGAAGTCCAGGCCCTGTTGTTACCTCATATAACAGCGATAATGCCTTGCATTACACCTAGGAAGAAAACACGTCAATTTGCTAACTTGCCATTGCATCAACCATTTACTCAATTTACCCCATGGCCATTGGCTCAACTTACCCCAAGGCAAACATTTTGACCATACTAGCCTACACAGCTACAAGGATGCACTTTCATTCTAGGTTTAGGACCTCATATTGAAGCTTATAGAGACCCCAACTGACGTATAGAACAATCTTAGAATTATTTACTTTGGTTTAGATACAAGCATCATGAAACCTCTAACACAATAAATTCATTTGACTTTTTTTAACGTAACCTGTTTATCACTTTTTCCATGTGGTTTCTTCCTTCACAGACTCCATGAAATGATGAACTCTTTCTAAATATTTGGGAATAATTCTCTAAAATGACATTGGAAATTAACATTAAATTCTCTGGCAACAGCTCTGGTTGAAATTCCTTCAGTCAGCATGCCAATTGCACCTCCCTCAAAACTTGAGACATCTGTGGCATTGTGTTGTGTGACACAACTGCACATTTTAGTGGCCTTTTATTGTCCCAAGCACAAGGTGCACTTGAAACCCCACCTCTTTAAGGAATACCTGGGATAGGATAAAGTAATCCTTCTACCCCCCCTTACCCCCCCCCAAAAATAAAAATAAAAATAAAAATACATCTTGTAAAGTGGTTATCCCACTGGCTATAAGGTGAATGCACCAATTTGTAAGTCGCTCTGGATAAGAGCGTCTGCTAAATGACGTAAATGTAAATGTGTAATGATCATGCTGTTTAATCAGCTTCTTGATATGCCACACCAGTCAGGTGGATGGATTATCTTGGCAAAGGAGAAATGCTCACTAACAGTGATGTAAACAAATTTGTGTACACAATTTGAGAGAAATAAGCTTTTGGTGCTTATGGAAAAGTTCTGGGATATTTTATTTCAGCTCATGAAACATGGGACCAATACTTAACATGTTGCGTTTATATTTTTGTTCAGTATACCTTTTAGTTGAAACTCTATATAAATTATACTGGAGTATTTGAAAAATTAGAATTTTCAAATAAACTACAAAAACTAGTTGCCCACAACTTGTCTTTTGTCAAAGAGATCCAGCAGGGGAATGGGCCAGGGTTAGATACAGTATGTGATGGGGCTCCCTCTGCCGGTAATATTACTCAATTACCTAAACACAAGTCCACAGCAACATAAGGGGTTTATGACAACAACAAAAAACGATTTTGGATATGTTGAATAAAATAATTTTTTGGGGAAAATACAGCAACCTCAGAAAAGATAAAAGCTACAAAAACAGTCAACCCAGTTTCTATTAACCCAGGATATACAAAACCATCTGACATTCATTCATCGTTCAGTCACCAACTCACTGCTCAAAACATTGAACAAGTTGAAAAGTCAATTAAAATAGCTATGTCATAAGCTAACACAGTATAAAAAGTAATTTACAAAACACGTGAAAAGGTTGCTGTTCCAGTGTTAGTGTTAAAGCAGGAAAGCCTGGAATCTGTAAGGGAGGTAGAGGCCTGATGTTCTGTGCAGACGAGTTCGTCCCAAACTCTTCCGAATGCAGAATCGACACAGCTGAGAGAGAGTGCAGGGACCTGGGGAAAAAGACATGAGGAGGTAGAACGAAAAAGAGGATGGGAGCAGATAGGTTAGACATGGAAAATCTATTGATAGTTTATGTACTGATGGAAGGCTTTCATACTGTAAGAAGTTTGGGTAGACTCATGCATGCATGTGTTTGTGCGTGAATGTGCATATTCTCACCCCTTTTCTGTATTGTAGTTCTGACTAGTGTCCGTGGCTGCCAGCTCCATAGGAGTCTTCCCGTCTGAACAGAGCATATGAGCGGAGTGGAGCGGTGAGAATCTCAGCTCCTCGCTCACGGAGCTGTTCACCCCTCCGCTCCCCCCGCTCAAAGCCACTTCAGGCCAGTCCGCTCATTATCGCTCAGCGCTCAACGAAGTTTGCATCGCGCTCCACTCAAATCGCCCCCTCGCTCGCTCCAAAAAAGGAAAAAAATCTGCATGTATTTCACTTTTAGCTTAAACCACAGCCTTACCTCCCAAAGAACTAAAGAGCAACAACAACATTTTCCAAATATAAATGTTTTATTTCAAATTACAAATTAGGCCTAGCCTATGTAAGAAGGAATATACACAAAAAGTCCTGTAAAATTTAACGAATCAATGGGCCTAATTACATAAATAAAAATATACAGGCTATACATCAAAGTTTTAAAAGTAAATTAACTATTAGGCCAAAATTCTGATAACTGAACTTTTGCGCAGTTTGCACGTGGATTAAAATTAAAATTGGCTTGTATCCATTGTCAAACTTTAAAATTAAAAATTAAAAAATGAATTGCTTTCCTTATCTACAGTTCTTTTGAGTTCACCTTCAAGAACACAAGTTTGACCAATGTCTGAGGCTTCAGACTCATGCGGTGGTTTCTTGACAGCAGGCCACCAGCGGAGAAAATCCTCTCTGCGCTCACAGACCCGCTTGGGATGCTGAACACAATGCAAGCTACTTTAGCCAGGCGTGGAGTTTTCTTTCCAAAATCGAATAACATCTGCGTCCGGGTTCTGTCTCGGGGATGAGAGGTAATTTTGGCGTCTCCGGTTATGCGTAGCTGCTCACTGAAGTATGACCCGAACAGGCAAGCTCTTTTTGGTTCAGGCTCGGGATTCAGGTCAGCGGCGGGTGGGGTGTCTGTCTCGGGTGTCCCGCTGGGAGCGTTAATTTCCTCAGCTTCTTTTATGAGGAGGTTGCAGATCTCCCCGAGTTTGTTGCATACAGACTCATCTCGGATTATCCATTCTGTCTTGAAACGGGGATCTAACACTGATGCTAAAATGAGATGTTTATCAGTATAGTATATTCCATAGCGAATTGACACGTTGTTAGCCAATGTTTCTGCAAAAGCAGCGATGCCCATTGAAAGTGCAGCGTGAGTGTCATCGGTGAGCAGGGATTTGATTTCTGTGACAGCAGGGAGGATCATCCCCAGGTTCCCCAGCTCCTTCTGCATTTTGTCTGTGAGGTCTGCCAGTGGTGTCAGCACACTGAAAAGGTGTGTCAGCTGCCGTACTTGATTCAGGGTGATGTTAGCAACATTAGACTTGAGTTTGTTTTGCCATAACGGTTATTTTTGGAATAACCGGATGAACGACTGAATCAAGTGATCCATCAAGTGGCGCAGGCATTTGTGGGGCGGACACCTAATTGGTCGGTTTCCTCTGTGTTCAGGGTGCTCTTGCGTACACTTTTCACCAGGTGCCCAACTTTCACTAACAGCCTATTAATGTTGTCGTGCTCGTTAATGGCGTCTTTGATCGCCAGCTGAAGCATGTGAATGGGGCATCTCAGATGTAAATTTAACACAGTAAAGTACAGATTTATCATAGTTTCTACATTAGAGGTTATCACTTCCACATGGACTTGCGAGGGCGCAGGTGGTTCCTCATCCTCCTCTTCATGTTCTGCACTGCTGCTGGCATCCGCGGTCACTTCACCCTCCGCCTCCTCTTCAGTGCCAGGGAGGAGGTTAAATGCCTTGATCATGTTGCTGGCACTGTCAGTGATGACCCGAATCACACGTCGTTGCACGTTCCAATATTTCAGTACACTTTCATACTTTTGGTAAATACGATCTGCGGTATGGTGCCCCTGTATGTGCTCACAGCCCAACAAAACCGTGTGCCCCCGGAACGTCCCATCAATGAAACTGGCCACGATGCCAAGGAAGCTGTTCCCTCTTCTACTGGTCCAAATGTCCACTGACTGAACGAGCCCATCACCATTTTGCAGTAGGTCTTGCAGTTTGGCTTCCATCTCTTCCAGGGCATGTGGCATGAATGTGTCCCGTGCGGTGTTGTAGCATGGGGGGGGTGGGGGGGGTGGGGGGTGTAGCCCAGTTGAGCTGCGCTGGCGAAGTGTTGCATCCCTTCACGTTCTCCTTTACTCAGCGGTTCATAGTCCATGTAAATAATTTTTTTAAATGCTACATCCAGCTCTCTTTTTCTCTCCCTTGTTATGGTTGGGCCTTTGTGTGCAGTGAATAAACTTTTGAATTCCTCAACCCTTTTCTCTTGTTGCTGCTGCTGCTCCTCTTGCTTTATAAAATACAAATTCATGGACGACACAAATTAAATTAAACGAACCATATATTAGGCCTACTTTGAATGACAAAACGAATTTGTTTGAATATTAGGCTATATTTACTTTACACTTTTGTTACAAGTTACCCTATTCAACTTGCTAACCTTTTGCTTTCTTCGCAGCATGTTTCTCGTAGCACACTTTCGTGTTTTCGAGAGATGTGTCTTTTTAGATTCCAAAATGAATCTTTACTGACTGAAACGATGTCACCACATTCTTTTTCTTGAACCACATTATCATTGTTAGTTAGTTTTATATTAATAGTACACCTGTATGACTTCTCATTTTCCTTTTTGAAGTACTTGGTGAACTCCATTATTGAGCCGAGTTCTGACTGAAAATAGTCTACTGTTGATGACTGTGCAAGACACAGATGGATTCTGGGTCAGGCTTGAGCATGCTTCAGACTCGTTGTGTGAGCGGAGCGAAATTGGAGCGGGACATAGGGCGACGCTCCGTCCATTTTAAAATGCCGCTCTGCGCTCTGTCCAAAATCCGGCCACTCGCGCTCCCCGCTCGCTCCCGCTCCACTCCGCTCACATGCTCTGCGTCTGAATTCCTACAACTCCCATCAGCCCCGTAGTCCATCAGCAGCTCCACCTCCCTGACTCCTCCCCCTTGCACTGCTGCGTGTAACGACGTGTCCTGACCACACCCACCCTGGTCATCAACACCTGATTGCAGCGGTCTCTCTACACAGTCGGTGGCCTGAGCCAGACAAGCAGTATACAGAGGGGTTCCCACACCAGGCAGCTCAAGGTCTATGTGGGCCCCATGAGACCCCTCCAGACACTCCCTGTGACCTGGGGAGGGAAACGACTTTTACTGAGTACAATGTTTACCATTACACCATCATGCTGCATGAAAGGATCATTCTGATTCTGCATATGAAATACATCCGCAAAAACACACATATATGTAGAATACAACCACATACACTTACCTCTCTTCGCAGCCTCGTGGATGGGTGATGACAGGTGGTGGACAAGGTGTGTGGTGAAGCTGTACTGTAGAATCAGTCAGACACAGGCAACACTCCCACTGCTGCAGGCATTGAAGAGGGGCGTGGCTCCATCAGTTGATACCATCTTGACCTACAGAGAAACACAAGGGCCAATCACATGAAGAGGCTTTAGATGCTCACGCTACATACACTGAGTATACAAAACATTAAGAACACCTGAGGGGTATTCCAGAAAGATGGTTTAACAAATTCAGGATTTCCTGAACATATCCAGCTTGTCTTAACCAGATCAGGGAGTCCAGGATTTCTTGGTTCCAGAACGGCTGCTTCTCATTTAAGTTATTAGGCTAAGCGAAGCGCAGATTGGTTGATCTGACAAATGGCGCGTGCACGCCTCATTCAAAAAGGTGCTCAAGTCGATGACACAACAAACTATAGATATGGAGTCAAAAGACAGAGCCCAATATTTCACAAGTCTAGAACAAGAAACAATTGTAACAATATACAACAAATATGTTCACATATTTACCAAAAAAAGTAATACAGCCACCACCGCAAAAGCCAGAGAGGGAGGCTGACGGACAGAGTAAATGTGCAAGTGAAGTGCCACGATTCCAATATCTAATAGGCCTAGCTTACACACATGGCTGATTAGTAATAATGCTCTCACTTTATAGAGCACTTTGTGCACTGTCAATCTAAAATGGCATCCTTACATTGGCCCCGTTCTCCAGCAGGAACTTGGTGCAGGCGCAATGGCCTCCGAGACAGGCCTGGTGGAGGGGATAGACCCATGTCCATGGTCAGCATGTCCACATGGAACCCCTGAGAGAGAGTGGAGGAAAATGTGTTAATGTTGTGTATATGACATGTGTGTGTTATGTTTAGTGTGTGTGTATATCATCTTTTTTGACTGTGTACTTGTGTGACCAGAGTCCTCAGGATCAGGAGTCTACCATGGTAGGCAGCATCGTGAAGAGGAGTCCTGTCTGACCACAAGTCTGTGGAAACACACATCCTTCATAGCCTGTCTAAACACAGCACATCATTACGAGACAAGCAACCTCCTGGACCCCAGTGCCCGGTTCCTGCCTGCTCCCCTGCCCAAGTATCACCGAAAACACTCCCTGTGTGAACTAAACACCCACACGGACACAGACTTCCTCTCTCTCTCCAAACTGATCATACTCGTCTCAACAATATAAATAAATTAATATTCATCAGATAAACCGGTTGGAACAGCCAGGAGAGTTTATGTGGAAATGAGAGGCAGTTGCCCATTGTGAGGGAAATGTATTGCTTTACATACTGGACTATTCCGAAACTAGACTTTGGTTCGTAAGACAATTATATATATTTATTCATTTTCAATTTGAATAACACCATCAGTGGCCTAGACAGTATTCTTCTTCTATTCTTCTAGAAAGACACCAAGATACAGTATATTGATCTAACTGCTCTCTCCTTCCATTTTCTCCATCTCTCATTACCTCAACCAATGCCAAAAAATATCTGAAACAATTCCAGTTCTTAACTCTTAGGAGAACAGATAGTGTTTATTCAGGACACCAACCATTCTATGTTGAACAACACCATTAATACAACAGGCAAAAGCACACAACACACTGAAGATCTCTTGGCCTCTCAAATTGTGTTTAACTTTCTTGCTCTCTCCTAACGTTAACTTACTTACTAAACAGAATGTACTTTGACAAAGCAGCAGTGAGTGAGTTGCACGCCAGTCCCACATAGATGTGGAAGGGGCCCCTCCAAGGCCGACTGCACAGGGCAATCTCAGTCTGAACAGCACCCATTGTCAAACAACAACAGCAGCCTCCTCCACAGTAACTGAACCATGCTATTAGCCTGTGAGTGGAATCCACAAACCTGTCTGGCTGCTGCTGGCCTTCCCAGACCTCTTATCAGGCCCCAATCTACCTCCTCCCCGACAAGTATCACCTCCACAACCCCCCTGTCCATGGGATAGGGGTAACTTGGATGACAATAGAGGTAAGCATAGGACAGACGATGGACTGATGGACACACACACAGATATACTGGGGGTTTTCATAGAGCAACATGCTTTCATCAAACCATGGTTCAGTTTTTACAAACAGTCTGGATGTCAACTTCATACATACAGTCAGACTACACGCTCCGCGGCCGCTAGGGGGGAACTCACAATGAAAAATGTTCCTGTTAAAATATAATACACAAGGTGCAATTTCGACATTTGGTAGTGCATAAGCAGTTTTCCACTTGTTATGTCAGTCACTGACAGTCTCTCAATTAGCCCATGTCAGCAAAACAATTGCATTACTAGGTAAGGTAGTCTATCCAGCTATAAACCTTGTAGTAATCATGACCAAATTTCCGACTGGGCACTCAGGGCATGTGCCCATGGACCCTGACCTCCAGGGGGCCCACATTGATTTTGCTAGTCACTCTCACTCAGATACAGTACCTTCAGAAACGATTCACACCCTTTGACTTTTGCAAAATGTTGGTGCATTACAGCCTGAATTTAAAATGGATTCAATTGAGATTTTTGGTCAGTGGCCGTCACACAACACCCCATAATGTCGAAGTGGAATTATGTTTTTAGACATTCTTACAAATTAATAAAAAATGAAAAGCTGAAATGTCAGTTGGTAGAGCATGGCGCTTGCAACGCCAGGGTTGTGGGTTCGTTTCCCACGGGGGGCCAGTATGAAAATGTATGCACTCACTAACTGTAAGTCGCTCTGGATAAGAGCGTCTGCTAAATGACTAAAATGTAAATGTAAAATTAGTCAATAAGTATTCAACCCTAAATACATCCAGGAGTAAAAAAATCACATAATAAGTTGCATGGACTCCCTCTGTGTGCAATAAGTGTTTAACATGATTTTTGAATGACTACCTCATCTCTGTATCCCACATAAACAATTATATGTAAGGTCCCTCAGTCGAGCAGTGAATTTCAAACACAAATTCAACCACAAAGACCAGGGAGGTTTTCCAATGCCTCGCAAAGAAGATGGGTAAAAAAAAAAAAAAAAACAGACATTGAATAACCCTTTGAGCATGGTGAAGTTATTCCTTACACTTTGGATGGTGAATCAATACACACAGTCACTACAAAGATACAGGCGTTATTTTTCATTCAGTTGCTGGAGAGGAAGGCAACTGCTCAGGGATTTCACTATGAGGCCAATGGTGACTTTAAAACAGCAACAGAGTTTAATGGCTGTGATAGGAGAAAACGGAGGATGGATCAACAACATTGTAGTTACTCCACAATACTAACCTAATTGACAGAGTGAACAGAAGGAAGCCTGTACAGAATAACAAATATTCTGCAACAAGACACTAAAGTAATACTGATAAAAAAGAAACGGAATGGAGCTAAGCACAGGCAAAATCCTAGAGGAAAATCTGCTTTCCACCAGACACTGGCATTTTTCCTATTTTGTTGCATTACAACCTGTAATTTAAATGGAATTTTAATTGGATTTCATGTAATGGACATACGCAAAATAGTCCAAATTGGTGAACTGAAATGAAAAAAAATTGTGCATATGTATTCACCTCCTTTGCTATGAAGCCCCTAAATAAGATCTGGTGCAACCAATTACCTTCAGAAGTCACATAATTAGTTAAATAAAGTCCACCTGTGTGCAATCTAAGTGTCACATGATCTGTCACATGATCTCAGTATATATACACCTGTTCTGAAAGGCCCCAGAGTCTGCAACACCACTAAGCAAGGGGCACCACCAAGCAAGCGGCACCATGAAGATCAAGGAGCTCTCCAAAAAGGTCAGGGACAAAGTTGTGGAGAAGTACAGATCAGGGTTGGGTTATAAAAAAATATCTGTCACTTTGAACATCCCACAGAGCACCATTGAATCCATTATTAAAAAATTGAAAGAATATGGCACCACAACAAACCTGCCAAGAGAGGGCCGCCCACCAAAACTCACGGCCCAGGCAAGGAGGGCATTGATCAGAGAGGCAACAAAGAGACCAAAGATAACCCTGAAGGACCTGCAAAGCTCCACATCGGAGATTGTCTGTCCATAGGACCACTTTAAGCCATACACTCCACAGAGCTGGGCTTTACGGAAGAGTGGCCAGAAAATAATAGTTCAAATCCTGTTTATTTGTCTTATTTATTGTTTGGTTCACAATAAAAAATATTTTGCATCTTCAAAGTGGTAGGAATGTTGTGTAAATCAAATGATACAACCCCCCCCAAAATCCATTTTAATTCCAAGTTGTAAGGCAACAAAATAGGAAAAATGCCAAGGGGGGTGAATACTTTCGCAAGCCACTGTAGATTAATTCACCTTTTGCAGGACAACAACCTAAACCACAAGGCCAAATCTACACTGGAATTGCTCACCAAGAAGACTGAATGTTTCTGAGTGGCCTAGTTACAGTTTTGACTTAAATCTGCTTGAATATCTATGGCAAGACTTGAAAATGGTTGTCTAGCAATGATCAACAACAATTTGACATTGCTTGAAGAATTTTGAAAAGAATAATGGGCAAATATTGTATAATACTTAAAGACTTACCCAGAAAGACTCACAGCTGTAATCACTGCCAAATGAGATTCTAACTTGTATTGACCCAGGGGTGTGAATAATTATGTAAATTAGATATTTATGTATTTCATTTTAAATAAATTTGCACAAACCATTTTTTTTTTACTTTGTCATTATGCGGTAATGTGTGTAGATATTGTGTGTAAAAATATTTTTAATCAATGTTGAATTCAGGCTGTAACATAACAAAATATGGAATAAGTCAAGGGGTATGAATAATTTCTGAAGGCACTGTATCATATGAACATGGCATAATTCATGGAAAAATTTGTAGAATTGCAGGCAATTAGCTTTAAAACGGGAATATTGCTATGGGAGTGTCCAGCACAGGCCTATGTTTCCATTAACCTTTGAATGAAAAGTCAATACTGTATGCAGAGCCGCCTCTAGCCTTTTGGCCACTAAAATGTTTTGCCAGCGAGGGGTGGCAACCAAATCTCGCTTAGGGCCACCAAAAGGCTAGAGGTTCATGGAAACATAGGCCTTTGTTTGCTATGGGAGTGAGTGTCCAGCATCTCTGGAACCTCTCTGCATACAGTACTCTCTCTTCTACATCTCTTTGACACATTAGGGGCTCATGAATAACCTGAATCTCTTTAGGCAGTAAATGTGTTTTTATAGTGACAACAATAGATGTGCATTACCCAGTCTACGCCCCTAACGATGTGTGAATGGTGCCCTATCCTCAGACTTGAAAAGAAAGTCTACGGCCCAGTAAATCACGGGCCAAGCTTCCTGCCATCCAGGACCTCTATACAAGGTGGTGTCAGAGGAAGGCCCAAAAAATTATCAAAGACTCCAGCCACCCAAGTCATAGACTGTTCTTTCCGCTACTGCACGGAGCGCCAAGTCTAGGTCAAAAAGGCTCCTTAACAGCTTCTACCCCCAAGCCATAAGACTGCTGAAAAATTAATCAAATGGCTACCCGGACTATTTGCATTGACCCCCTCCCCCCCTTGCTTTTTTACACTGCTGCTACTCACTGTTTATTATCTATGCATAGTCACTTTACCCCTACCTACATGTATATATTACCTCAATTACCTCGACTAACCTGTACTCCCGCACATTGACTCGGTACCTGTACCCCCCGTATATAGCCTCGTTATTGTTATTTTATTGTGTTACTGTTTTTTACTTTAGTTTATTTAGTAAATATTTTCTTTAAACTGCATTGTTGGTTAAGGTCTTGTAAGTAAGCATTTCACGGTAAGGTCTACACCTGTTGTATTCGGCGCAAGTGACAAATACAATTTAATTTGGGCTGCCACTCAGAAGAATTTTTAAAAAAGAAGGAAAAAAAATCATTACAAAAGATACATAACTACAAAGTATTGATCATTTTGATCATAAAGTTTAAGAAATAATACATTAAATATAGAGCACCCCCCACCTCCCATCCCATCCCATTCCATTCCTCCACCGGCTGTCTGGCTCAGGGTTTTCCAAACTCGGTCCTGGGGGCCCCCTTGGATGCATGTTTTGGTTTTTGCCCTAGCACTACACAGCTGATTCAAATAACCCACTCATCATCAAGCTTTGCTTTTTTGAATCAGCTGAGTATTGCTAGGTCAAAAATCAAAACGTGCACCCAGGGGGTCCCAGGATAGAGTTTGGGAAACCCTGGTCTGGCTGACATATTATATATTTGGTGGGGGAGGGTTAACTCCTACCTTGCAGGGGTCCAGAGAAACTGCGTTAAGCCAATGCAGATATTGCCTGTTATAACCATGGCTGGATTGGCATATAGCATTTTAATAATGAAATTATAGCTAGCTATTGAAAATACAGTGCATTCGGAAAGTATTCAGACCCATCGACTTTTTCCAGATTTTGTTACATTACAGCCTTATTCTAAAATGGATTACATTGTTTTTTTCCCCCTCATCAATCTACACACAATACCCCATAATGACGAAGCAAAAACAGGTTTTTAGATTTTTTTTGTACATTTGTAAAACATTTTTTAAATTACATTTACATAAGTATTCAGACCCTTTACTCAATACTTTGTTGAAGCACATTTGGCAGTGATTACAGCCTCGAGGCTTCTTGGATATGACGTTACAAGCTTGGCACACCTGTATTTGGGGAGTTTCTCCCATTCTTCTCTGCAGATCCTCTCAAGCTCTGTCAGGTTGGATGGGGAGCTTCGCTGCACAGCTATTTTCAGGTCTCTCCAGAGATGTTCGATCGGGTTCAAGTCCGGGCTCTGGCTGGGCCACTCAAGGACATTCAAAGACTTGTCCCGAAGCCACTCCTGCGTTGTCTTGGCTGTGTGCTTAGGGTAGTTGTCATGTTGTAAGGTGAACCTTTGCTCTAGTCTAAGGTCCTGGGCGCTCTGGAGCAGGTTTTCATCAAGGATCTCTCTGTACTTTGCTCCGTTCAGCTTTCCCTCTATCCTGACTAGTCTCCAAGTCCCTGCCGCTGAAAAACATCCCCACAGTATGATGCTGCCACCACCATGCTTCACTGTAGTGATGGTGCCAGGTTTCCTCCAGACATGACACTTGGCATTCAGGCCAAAGAGTTCAATCTTGGTTTCATCAGACCAGAGAATCTTGTTTCTCATGGTCAGAGTCCTTTAGGTGCCTTTTGGCAAACTCCAAGCGGGCTGTCATGTGCCTTTTACTGAGGAGTGGCTTCCGTCTGGCCACTCTACCATAAAGGCCTGATTGGTGGAGTGCTGCAGAGATGGTTGTCCTTCTGGAAGGTTCTTCCATCTCTACAGTGGAACTCTGGAGGTCTTTCAGAGTGACAGTCGGGTTCTTGGTCACCTCCCTGACCAAGGCCCTTCTCCCCCGTTTACTCAGTTTGGCCGGCCGGCCAGCTTTAGGAAGAGTCTTGGTGGTTCCAAACTTCTTCTATTTAAGAATGATGGGGGCCACTGTGTTCTTGGGGACCTTCAATGCTGCAAAATGTTTTGGTACTTGTCCCCAGATCTGTGCCTCGACAAAATCCTGTCTCTGAGATCTTCGACCTCATGGCTTGGTTTTTGCTCTGACATGCACTATCAACTGTGGGACCTTATATAGCCAGGTGTGTGCCTTTCCAAATCATGTCCAATCAATTGCATTTACCACAAATGGACTCCAATCAAGTTGTAGAATCATCTAAAGGATGATCAATGGAAACAGGATGCACCTGAGCTCAATTTCCAGTCTCATAGCAAAGGTTCTGAATACTTACAGTACCAGTCAAAAGTTTGGACACACCTACTCATTCAAGGGTTTTTCTTTATTTTTACTATTTTCTACATTGTAGAATAAACTATTAAATAACAAATATGGAATCATGTAGTAACCAAAAAAGTGTTAAATAAATCAAAATATACTTTATATTTTTCAAAGTAGCCACCCTTTGCCTTGGTGACAGCTTTGCACACTCTTGGCATTCTCTCAACCAGCTTCATGAGGAATGCTTTTCCAACAGTCTTGAAGGAGTTCCCACATATGCTGAGCACTTGGCTGCTTTCCCTTCACTCTGCGGTCCAACTCATCCCAAACCATCTCAATTGGGCTGAGGTCGGGTGATTGTGGAGGCCAGGTCATCTGATGCAGCACTCCATCACTCTCCGTCAAATAGCCCTTACACAGCCTGGAGGTTTGTTTTGGGTCATTGTCCTGTTGAAAAACAAATGATAGTCCCTCTAAGGGCAAACCTGATGGGATGGCGTATCGCTGCAGAATGCTGTGGTAGCCATGCTGGTTAAGTGTGCCTTGAATTCTAAATAAATCACTGACAGTGTCACCAGCAAAGCACCCCCACACCTCCTCCTCCATGCTTCACGGTTGGAACCACATGTGGAGATCCTCCGTTCACCTACTCTGCGTCTCACAAAGACACGGCAGTTGGAACCAAAAATCTCAAATTTGGACTCATCAGACCAAAGGACAGATTTCCACCTTTCTAATGTCCATTGCTCATGTTTCTTGGCCCAAGCAAATCCTCTTCTTATTGGTGTCCTTTAGTAGTGATTTCTTTGCATCAATTCAACCATGAAGGCCTGATTCACGCAGTCTCCTCTGAACAGTTGATGTTGAGATGTGTCTGTTACTTGAACTCTGTGAAGCATTTATTTGGGCTGCAATCTGAGGTGCAGTTAACTCTAATGAACTTATCCTCTGTAGCAGAGGTAACTCTGGGTCTTCATGAGAGCCAGTTTCATCATAGCACTTGATGGTTTTTGCGACTGCACTTGAAGAAACTTAACGTTTTTGAAATTTTCCGGATTGACTGCCCTTCATGTCTTAAAGTAATGATGGACTGTCGTTTCTCTTTGCATATTTGAGCTGTCTTCAAGGCAAAGGGTGGCTACTTTGAAGAATCTCAAATATAAAACATATTTGTTTAACACTTTTTTGATTACTACATGACTCCATGTGTTATTTCATGGTTTTGATGTCTTCACTATTATTCTACAATGTTGAAAATAGTAAAAATAAATTCTTGAAATAAAAAAAGTGACAGGTCACCAACATCGTTAAGGGACAAAATAGGTAATTATGAAAAACTTTACTTTACTTATTTACATTATAGGTCAAGATACCCTCAACCTTTTTCCTATGTCAAATAATTCTGTGCGCCTATATCCCTTCGTTATTCAGTGCAAATCATGGGTAGAGAAATGAAAATCAAATCAAACTGAGTGAAATATAAAAACAGGAGTGCTTCACATTCAGGGATTACAATGAATATAAGTCTTAACTTTACCTGAGCAAGAAAAAAAAAATGACTGGTCAGTCTCCACAGGTCATAAGGTAGTGGGGTCAGGTATCAATATATCAGGAGTTATATAATAGGATAAGGACTTGTGCCTGCTTGGAGTTGTGATCATAACTTGGTCTTGTGACCACCTGGCTCCTCCTTTGTCAAGACGGCACTTTTAGAGTGAGTTCCTTTCCTATCGCCCAAGCCCCGCCTCCACAATCCCTGGGGGCCTGTGGCGTCCATGGCAATGTCTATGAGGCGGTCTGGGAGGAGCCAGCGGAGGAGGAGCAGGAAGAGGAAGTCGAGAACAGCAAAGAGGGAAAAGATGGAGCCTGCCACGGGGCCACAGTGTGCCCTCAGTCTGAGCAGCCGTCTGTCCAGAGGAAGAACCTCCTTCCCAACGACGCAGTCATACACCTGACAAAATAGAGAGAGCATTGACACAGTGTTAGTATCACTATAATTAGACCTCATCAGTATCTCAGTCTGTGTCAATGAAAGGTATTATGAAAGTGTATCACAGTGTAGATTTATGAAACATAATAAAATAGAGAGTAAAACAGAAGCATGTTTGAGCCTACCTTCTCTGTCCTCTCTGCGACGTTCCTCCAGGTGTACAGGGTGCGGACATGGGCGTGGATGGTGGCGGGGGAGGCAACCCGGCCTGATAGTTGCCTAGCGATGACACTCTCCAGGCCGGCACACAGAGAATGCACGGTGGGCTCGCACAGGGTGATCAGATCCTCAGGCAGAACCTCTGGGATCCCTCCAACACGCGTACTTACCACCTACAAGCACACACACAAAATTATCAGATCTTGAAATCTCTCACATCACAAGCATACTCAACATCTAAACACCCACACATATACAAAGTTCACCTCATTGCCCCATTAATCGTAATGCACAAACACCCACTCAATCCACCACTGCTTCTCATTAGACTATCCCTGACTAACACCCAACCAGTCCCAGGTATCAACCACTTTATCTCAAAGTGCACCAGTTAACATATACTGTACCTGGCCTGTGTTGTAATAAGGGATGAACCTACCTGTAGTCCACAGCTGGCTCCCTCCACTATGGCCATGCAGAAGGCCTCAGTCAGGGAGGTGTTGAGGAAGATATGTCCCTGGACCAACACCCCACGCACATCCTTATGCTCCAGGGCCCCCAGGAGATGCACCCTGGGGAGAGAGAGAAGCAACTCATATACATACAGTACATATAAACACATACGTACATACAACCACATACATACACACACACATCACTGTATAATTGTACCTGTCGTGTAGCTGGTATTTCTCTCTCACTTCCTCCAACACGATTCTCTTTGGTCCCTCTCCACCAATCAGGAAATGTAGATCTGGATGTTTCAGGCAGAGCTCTGGGATGATCCTTCCCAGAAGATCTATTCCTTAAAAAAGGTAAAGAGCAGGGAATGACACTTCACACTCCTACAATCATACCTACCGGAACTGTATGTAATAATAAATGACAGGCACACATAGATCATCTTTTTGTTATGCGTGGTCCACATTTATCATTATATAAAGTATATAGTCTCACCCCTCCCTCCCTCCCACCCTACCTTTGCGGTAGACGAGACGGCTGATCACAACAATGGTGATCCTGTCGACATGCCGTTGGGAGGGGTCGGGGGTGAAGTCTCTGGGGTCGACGGCATTGGGGATGACAGAAACAATCTTGGGGTCGAGCCCTGCCCTGAGCACTGTGTTCTCTTTACTGGTGTACGACACACACACAATGTGATTGGTATCGCACAGAGACACAGTCAGCAGCTTATTGGTCAGCACCGAGCTGACGTCAGCAAAACCGAAGAGGGAGTGGTCAGTGAACACCTGTAAAACAGAAAACAACCTTTAGTTATTTATACTAGATGGACACATAAAAAGCTATTTCAGGAATGTGATATGCTACCGCAGGGCTGCCCAACCCTCTTCCTGGAGATCTACTGTCCTGTAGGTTTTCAGTCCAACCCTAATTTAGCATATCTGATTCAGCTAGTTGAGGTCTTGTTGAGCAGCTAATAAGTAGAATCAGGTGTGTTAAATTAGGGTTGGACTGAAAACCCACAGGACAGTAGATCTCCAGGAAGAGGGATGGGCAGCCCTGTGCTACCGTCTTGCCTTAGAATGCGTCTGCAATGGCACCATATTCCTATAGTGCACTACTTTCGGTCAAAAGTAGGCTTAGATTCACCACTCACAACACCCTCTCTGCTAGACTGCTACCCACCGTGTTGAGGCCCATGGTCTTGGCGTGGAAGAGTGCATCGTGGCCCATGGCGGAGAAGGAGCTGTGGGCGTGCACCACGGTGATGCGCTCCCTGACGAACACACAGCGCAGTAGTGGCAGGCTGTGGAAGCAGGTGGTTACGGTGGACTGGTTGTACATCACCTGCAGGGGCAGGTAGTAGACCTTGAGCCCGTTGGGCAGGTAGCGGACCCCCTTTCTGCAGCCGTAGGCGTGGGTGGCGATCACCACCTTGTGGCCCTTCTCTATCAGACACTGGGATAGCTGGTAGATGTGGCTCTCCACCCCTCCCATGTTGGGGTAGAAGAAGTCTGACACCATGCAAATGTTGTGTTTCCTGGCTGGGGCCTGGGGAGCTACTATGAGCCCGTCAGGGTTTCTGTTTGCTGGGGGAGCTTGGGCAGCCGTCCCCCTCCTTCGCTGGCCCATGGTAGTGGAGTGCTGTGGTTGTATGCGTCACTCATACAGTCGTTTCACATGTAGAGCAACCATGCACCTACGTAAATAATGAAATACACATTACAATGGCTAGATACAAGAACACAATCTGCTCAGGTTAACCTAGGACTCGATCTAAATACTGTATCATACACTTTGGTAATGAAGCTTATAGAAAGATGATCTTATGAATAAGCGGTTGCAAGCTAGCTAGTCGAGATCATCTTTGTAGTGGCTTATTCACGGAGTGTAAAAAACATTAGGAACACCTTCCTAATATTGAGTTGCACCCCCTTTTGCCCTCAGAACAGCCTCAATTCGTCAGGGCATGACTCTACAAGGTGTCGAAAGCGTTCCACAGGGATGCTGGCCCATGTCGACTCCAATGCTAAGAATAAGAAGACACAGTGGCAGAATTAATTCAACCACACCTTTGTTTTATCACAAAACCGGATACCAACCTCTGTCCTGTTTAGTCCACAGAGCATATTGCATTTAACAGACAGTTACATGACCTACAGCATGGTCAAGCAAGGTAATGTTTCCGGATTTTACAGACCACTAAATAACTATTGATTTAGAACCACAGAGAGTTACCGCAAGTCGCAAAGAAAACAGGAGCTGCCTCCACTATTCCAGCACCATTTCAACTTCAACATTATCAAATCACCTCTGCTTAGTTTAATACAGTGACAACTAAAAGATACCAAAACAATTTATTCCAATCAACGTAAGCTAAAGAAGATGTGGATGTCCATGGTCCTGTTTGCGTGAGTGTGTGTGCACGCAAGTAGAAAAATATGTTGACTCACCCTATTTGTAGAGAAACGCCAATGCCATCCTCCTTTCTTTCATGTTGACGAAACGGTCTATCACTCTGCCATACAGTTCACGCTTTTACTTTTTGTTGTCCTAGGCTACCTGGCTAAAATGCTTGCTTGCTAGCCTAACTTCCATTCATAGGCAACTTTAGCTAGTTAACATTAGCCTGCTACATATTGAACTTCCATCCTCTCAGGCCAGGGGCACAACAATGTATGAATTAATGGTTGGTAGCTCAGTTGGTAGAGCATGGCACTTGCAACGCCAGGGTTGTGGGTTCGATTCCCACGGGGGGCCAGTATGAAAATGTATGCACTCACTAACTGTAAGTCGCTCTGGATAAGAGCGTCTGCTAAATTACTAAAATGTAAAATAATAATTGGCCAGTATGGAGAATTAAGTAAAACCACAAGTCCAAATCCCTATCTCCATACATGGCTAATTTAGGAAAGGGCCAAATTTAGCGATTTGATAGGAGGGATGCCAAAATCCAAGCTGGCTTCCCTTGACAATTTTTTTGGTGCGCCAGGACCATTCAAGGTTGAGTTCGCTCAGTTTAGCTTAAGCTGAGCTCGCTCAGTTTATCTTAAACTGATTGGCACATTTTGTATATATATTTTTTTAATCAAGGGAGGCCAAATGCCCGCTGGCTTCCGTTGCATTCCATTCAATGTTAGGGATGGCAACAATGTCATACTCGTTTGGACCAGACAGCATCAGATAGATAGTCTACACGTAGAGACAGAGGTGTGCGGTTTCGCTCGCTCGGATGGTTTCTCCGGTGAGATATAATATAATAATAATAATAAGCCATTTAGCAGACGCTTTTATCCAAAGCGACTTGCAGTCATCCGTGCATACATTTTTACGTATGGGTGGTCCCGGGGATCGAACCCACTACCCTGGCGTTACAAGCGCCATGCTCTACCAATTGAGCTACAGAGGACCACATACATTCAGTGTCTTGAGAATTGAAGGTCAATTATGAAACACAGAGAGACGAAAGATAAATTATTATTATACGTATTTTCCTTGGCCCCATGAATATATCCATGGTTCCTAATGTTTGTACACTCAGTGTAGATAACCCATTCAGTTGTAGCTTGGAGGTAACTAACTACAGTAGCTTCTTAGCTGGCTAGTTAACGTTACAAATTAAGCTAAGTAAGCTAGTATGTTTGCTATGATGCTGCAAAGGACATTCAGAGGGTTCAGACTTGACTACGACCTTACCTTCAAAACAAAGTGAAATTGCTTTTTGTTTTATATAAATCAACAACTTTGTCTCAGTGCATCGTCAATCAAAACAGCACAGACACTTCCTGCTCCGCGTCATCGTGTCACAGATAGAACAATGAGACGTTCTTCTTCTTCTGCAGGTTTTATGGCAGACTACAACCCAAAAAGGTGTATTGCCGCCACCAACTGGACGGGTTGAAAAATCAAAACAAGGTTAAAAAAAAATCCATATGTGATAGGGAAACTACCTTAATCCACCCAAATAAAAATAGTACATTGACCAAAACAAAACTCCCACTTCTTCCTCCTTTCAATCTCCATATCTAGGGCCTGAGAGGGTGGTACGGCTTGTGCCAATATTCCATGTAACTCCTCCGCTGAGAAATCTCTCAATCCCAGGAACCGCTTCGCTGCATCCACAATTTTATTTTTATTTTTATTTCACCTTTATTTAACCTGGTAAGCCAGTTGAGAACAAGTTCTCATTTACAACTGCGACCTGGCCAAGATAAAGCAAAGCAGTGTGATAAAAACAACAACACAGAGTTACATATGGGGTAAAACAAAACATAAAGCCAAAAATACAACAGAAAATCTATATACAGTGTGTGCAAATGTAGCAAGTTATGGAGATAAGGCAATAAATAGGCTATAGTGCAAAATAATTACAATTAGTATTAACACTGGAATGATAGATGTGCAAGAGATTATGTGCAAATAGAGATACTGGGGTGCAAAAGAGCAAAATAAATAACAATATAGGGATGAGGTAGTTGGGTGGGCTAATTTCAGATGGGCTGTGTACATGTGCAGTGATCGGTAAGGTGCTCTGACAACTGATGCTTAAAGTTAGTGAGGGAGATAAGAGTCTCCAGCTTCAGAGATTTTTGCAATTCGTTCCAGTCATTGGCAGCAGAGAACTGGAAGGAATGGCGGCCAAAGGAGGTGTTGGCTTTGGGAATGACCAGTGAGATATACCTGCTGGAGCGCAGACTACGGGTGGGTGCTGCTATGGTGACCAATGAGCTAAGATAAGGCGGGGATTTGCCTAGCAGTGATTTATAGATGGCCTGGAGCCAGTGGGTTTGACGACGAACATGTAGTGAGGACCAGCCAACAAGAGCGTACAGGTCACAGTGGTGGGTAGTGTATGGGGCTTTGGAGACAAAACGGATGGCACTGTGATAGACTACATCCAATTTGCTGAGTAGAGTGTTGGAGGCTATTTTGTAAATGACATCGCCGAAGTCAAGGATCGGTAGGATAGTCAGTTTTACGAGGGCATGTTTGGCAGCATGAGTGAAGGAGGCTTTGTTGCGAAATAGGAAGCCGATTCTAGATTTAACTTTGGATTGGAGATTCTTAATGTGAGTCTGGAAGGAGAGTTTACAGTCTAACCAGACACCTAGGTATTTGTAGTTGTCCACATACTCTAGGTCAGACCCGTCGAGAGTGGTGATTCTAGTCGGGTGGGCGGGTGCCAGCAGCGTTCAATTGAAGAGCATGCATTTAGTTTTACTAGTGTTTAAGAGCAGTTGGAGGCTACTGATATCTATCTTCCTGGACCTTCTCTCCACCTTGGTAGTGCCATTAATCACCATAGCTATAAAGGCCACAAAGTCTACCTACTTAACCTTTAAAATGTCAGTGTCCTGCTGGTGAAAGGCAACGCCTGCAGCCTGCAGTGAAGGCCTATCCACCACCATGGACTCTTCAGGAGCACCATTCAAACCCTCAACCCTTTAACAGCTGCTGCATATGAAATGCTCTGGACAGCCCTGACTTTGGCCACCTCATTCTCTTTCACCCTTGTCGGGCAATCGAAAGATGTAGCTTCATGGTCGCAGTGCTAGCTGTGCCACTAGAGATCCTGGTTCGAATCCAGGCTCTGTCGTAGCCGGCTGCGACCGGGAGACCCATGGGGCGGCGCACAATTGGCCCAGTGTCGTCCAGGGTAGGGGAGGGAATGGCCGGCAGGGGATGTAGCTCAGTTGGTAGAGCATGGCGTTTGCAACGCCAGGGTTGTGGGTTCGATAAAATAATGTATGTGCTAACTGTAAGTCGCTCTGGATAAGAGCGTCTGCTAAATGACTAAAATGTAAATGTAATGTTCCCACCACAATTGCAACATATCACATTTTCCTCACTTTTAAAACACATTATATGATATTTTCCACAACTTGACCAAAAGCTTTACAATGATCACAGATTAGTCTTGGGATAAATGCTCTGACCCTTTAGTTTATATATCCCAACTGCACTTGAGTAGGGAAAGACTCCAAATCAAAAACAAAATAACAGATAGACTCTTCACTTTTACACCATTCACCACACGATTCATCCGACGTGCATCAATCACTCCAGGAATATGTTTCATCTCTTCAAAATCGACTTCCCATGAGAAGCCAGATATAACCCCCTTGAGGGGTGCCCTATTCCGAAGAGACACACACGACACTTCAAACGTATCAAATCGGGTGAGACTAAACGCACGTTCCTTCTGATCCGCAGAAGCACAAAAAATATAAACAAGCCCGTCTCTCGTGATCCTCACAGCCTTCACTTTACCTAGCACTCTTTCCACCAAACTGTTACAGACCTATATCCATCCTGCCCTGCCTTTCGAAAGTATTTGAAAGCCAAGTTAACAAACAGATCACCGACCATTTCGAATCCCACCGTACCTTCTCCGCTATGCAATCTGGTTTCCGAGCTGGTCATGGGTGTACCTCAGCCACGCTCAAGGTCCTAAACAATATAATAACCGCGATCGATAAAAGACAGTACTGTGCAGCCGTCTTCATTGACCTGGCCAAGGCTTTTGACTCTCTCAATCACTGCATTCTTACTGGCAGACTAAACAGCCTTGGTTTCTCAAATGACTGCCTCGCCTGGTTCACCAACTACTTCTCAGATAGAGTTCAATGTGTCAAATCGGAGCTCTTCAATCGAACGCTGCTGGCACCTGCCCACCCGGCAGGTCTGACTTAGAATATGTGGACAACTACAAATACCTAGGTGTCTGGTTAGACCGTAAACTCTCCTTCCAGACTCACATTAAGCATCTCCAATCCAAAGTTAAATCTAGAATCGGCTTCCTATTTCGCAAGAAAGCCTCCTTCACTCATGCTGCTAAACATGCCCTCGTAAAACTGACTGTCCTACCGATCCTTGACTTTGGCGATGTCATTTACAAAATAGCCTCCAA